ATACATACATACATACATACATACATACATACATACATACATACATATTGGATTCTTCTGAAATTCATTTGACCTAAAAAGTTTACATACAGCTGTTTGAATAGGCATACTGCAAATCAAGATCTCCCCTTTCAAGAGAATCAAAATTCAATGGATCAGAAGAAAATACATATCTGAAATAAAGAAACTTACTACCCAAGTTTCTATGACATAAATCATCTATCTGCTTTAGGAACTTTGTGTGTTTATACATTAACCTCTGCCCTAAAGTGACTTTTTTAAATTTGTACTTAGTAAAATCTATGTACCCACCCATTGGGCTTTGTAGAAAATTATGTATCATTTTGTTGGGCAAATGCAGGATTTGAAGTTTACTCAACAGATTTTCTTGTTCTAACTGAGCCAAGAGCCTGGGTGCAGATGTAAATTTTGGAAGTTTGCCATAGGCAATATAATCATCATATGAACGTGATGTGTTATTATAATCCCTGATGGGGGAAGAGAAGGACATGAGGGTATGTTAAAAGAAAACAAAATGGTGGCTGAAAATGCTCCAGTGGAGCCATTGCCTTGACTTTTTTTCGTCACCTCCCTACCAACTCCTTCAAGATGTATCTAGGTGAAAATATGCTTAAAATCAAATGGAAGAGATGCCTGCAGTGAGTTTTTCTCTAGTTACTAATATAAAAAAAAAACTTTCTGTCTTTTCAGTTGTTTTTGATTACAGTCCACTGATATCTTGGAAGGAATTTCAAGAATGCATGCCCTGGGAAATTGCCATCCTTGTTGGTGGTGGGTTTGCGCTGGCTGATGGCTGTGAGGTAATGCAGGTTTTTACCATTTCATCAGTTTATAAGGTATAGGTAGTTATAAGGGAAATGCAAAGAATGGCATGATCTTTCAGTGATTTTGTTCATTGATGTTACTTGTCTAATGGCAAAATATTATCCCTGAAATTGTTTGCATTTAGGCACACTAAATTTATTGAAATCAGCAAGAAACATCTGTTGTCTAAAGTAATATATGCACAAACTATTTCCCCCAAAAGGCTATCTGTTCCTTATGCTTTATATATATCTTGTGGCCTGTGTTTTGACTTCCAGTCTCCCATAAGAATATCCCACTGGCAATACATTGCAGAATTTTCCAATCCCAGTCATTAAAAGTCTGGGTATGTTGTGCACTCACTCAGTTTCATAAATACAATGCTGAGATTTATTGATGTGTTTTTGCAATCAATATAGGCAAAACCTTTAGTAAAGTTCCTCAGACAAACATAATTTTTCCTCATGTAGAGGCTAGACCCCATTTAGGGACCACAACTGGGATAGGCAACTTGATCATTAAGCAAAGCAGTTGCTAAATAGAACTATACAGTAACTGTACTTATAATCTTACTTCAGCTTTCCTTTGCTCTGCAGTCACGCAAAGGTTGTAACTGCAAGGATTGGTCACAAACTTATGCTTTCCTCACTATCATTACTGCAAATGGCCATTAAATCAGATAGTCACTAATATAGTATATTAACTGTATACTAATACTTATATACTAATATAGTCAGAAAGTCACTGTTCTTTAATGTAATAGATCTATCCAAGTTTTTCTGATGATGTGAAAGAACCAGAAATATATCTATATAATATACTGATCACATTTGAACAATACACCAAACCATTGTTTTTACTAACTACTACATTTTATATGGGCAGGAAAGCTTGTTCATATGCTCAGCTTCACCATTTTAGAAATATGTCTGTGTCTAATGAAAAATTACATAATCGTTTTTGAATAGAGATCAAATTAACAAAATTTTATTGTGCTGTGGTACTTTGAATTTGTAGACCATGGTTTAGGTGCCAACATAA